TATTTCATATTAACCTTTTATTTGCAAAAATTTTTTTATTGTAGAGCTTTGCAAAAAAAAATTGCATAATTTTATCGTTTACAGCGTTGATTGAAAGCTATACAGAACAATTCCTTGAAACTTAGCTGCCAAAAAACTTAATCACATATAAAAACTAATAAATGAGTGATGATGTAGACTGAAAATGTCGGTCAATCAACTGTGTTTTTTAAATCTTGTTGCTGCCAACTTTGCTCATTTTCAGCCTCAAATATCAATGTTTATTTTGTTCATTTACTGTATGATGAATACTTCCTTCAGCAGTTGCTATTTGTATAATTTCAACAGAAGTTTTTTTTCTCTCTGATACGTTGCAATAAAAGAGACAGTAGATTTTTAGTGTTAAAAAACGCCTAATAACAATAGATTTCTGATTCATAATTAGTTAGAAAAGTTGTTTCAAGTAAAACATTCCAAGTTTCACCTGTAGATTATCATCAACAAAGTATAAGGTTTTATTTGATAAAGTCGCTAAAAATACTAGACCTTCCGCCTAGAAAAAAATAGCAGCCTTTATTTAATGCAAGTTTCAGTAGAACTTTTCCGTTTGTCTAAGAATTTTTTTAAAGCTTTTTCAAAACTGTTATTGAAAAGCATTGCATAACTGCAGTTGAAACCACTTCTTAAAAATTACTTTATTCAAAGACCAGCTTAGCGGAAACTGAAAGTCTAAATTGCTGCTGAAAGTTATGCCGCATTTTTTTTTCTTTAAAAGCAGCGTATAAACTTCATATTTTCTAAATTATATAAATGTATGTCATACGTTATTTTATTTTCATGTCATCTTATCCACAAATCTCCTTGCGACTAATTTTTAAAAATAAGAAAAAAAACAGATGAAAGTGACATAATTACTTTTGTCAAAAAAATTCAGCGTTGCATGAATAGAAAGATGACAAGCGCTAACCTCAAAGCTCACTCATTTTACTCTGAACTTAATTCTAAGTACTAGTCCAGCTAGATCACTGTTCTCGAGAGTACTAATAATATGTAGAAACACTATCTTAAATGAAGAAAAACTGTAATATTCGCAATCGTAAGCCATTCTTACAAGAATTTTCAAGACCCCGTGACTAACTAACATTTTCATAGTACTTAATAATTTAAATAAGAGTCAAAATTTTAAGCAGTCTCTCTGTTTCGCAAAAAACAAAAAAACCTTCGGACATCTTTTTGAAATAGAATTTTCTGTAGTCTTCGCTGAAGTGGGAAAATTTCAAAACCGAGCTTTACAGACTACGACGACCAGTAATTTTGATATAAAACTATGATGAGTTTTAAACCTAATCAGCGGTGTTGACCAAGTAAATTTTGAAAATCCTATTTTTTAAAAAATTTCAAATTGTTAAAACTCAGAAATCGAACAATAATCGATTCAAAGCACGTGTTTTTTAATTAACTAACAAGTGTTAAATTTCTACCCTTTCTGATTCCGCTATTCATAAAAACAGTGTAAAGTACCTTACCATTGTCCAAAACCATCGGTTACGACACAGTTGTGTTAAATCTTGACAGTAAAGGTGGAAACCAACTTACAAAACTCAAAGTCTCAAAGTTGGATGTTATCCAACTGCAAATTCGCAGCTGTAATCATAAGATACAGAGAATTCAATAAAAACTGCAATAAAAAGATTTGACTGTGGTATCGCTTTTACTTTTTATGTCCACAAATTTAAACTAAAGTATTAACACTATTAATAATATCTTATGAACAAACCAATTATTAAGTCCCAAAACAGATACACGTTCATTTAGTTTCCTATGTTCCAGTCAATAATTTTAATTTCAGACTAGCCACACAAACAAACCAAAAATTGATTCTAGTTTTTTCTTTCGTTTCATTTTTTTGAACCTGCTTCTCTAGTATTTTCTAAATGTGGGTTTCAAATAATTTTACAGTTACTGTCATTGTTAATCCCTTATTAATTGTCTTCATTCTTCATCAAGTATTACTTCTCCCACAGTAACTACTATATAAATAAGAAATAATAATTTGCAGAGTTCTTACATGAACGTAAGAATTACTAAAGTTAGTTATGTTCCTTTGAATACTGGAAATGAAGAGCGCATTTTTGGCAAACAAAAATGATTTTACGCTTGATTTAGCTAACCGGTTACTACGCTTTATACTGAAAGAATTGCGGTCAAGCCAAATAAAAAATTTAGTTGTACAACAACACAAGTTCGCGTGAGAAAGATTTGTAGTATGAAACAAGAAATTTGGAAACATTAAAATACTCAGTCACACTACCGAAATGGGACTCAACCATCCACGTGAGGCGCATCTTACGCTTTAAGCTAGGCTTCCCACCCGATCCACCAAAGAACAACAGCATTTTAAAGGTGTTTTTGTTGTGTTGATGGTTCTTTCCACAACCAGCTTTCTTATCCAGCAACAGTGCTCCAAAATTACAAAAACTACTACTCTAATTCCAAAACACGAAAGTACTCATACTATATATATATATATATATATA